GGGGGCCCGGCCCCTCCGCAGGCAGCCGCGGGGCTGGGCAGGGGCCGGTGGGCTCCGCCGCTGCTCCTCTCGCCGCGCCAGCCCCGGGGCAGCTGCCTGGCCGGACCAACAACGGGCAAGCTACGGGCAGCAGGAAACTTTTGTCGGGTCTCACACTGACATTTACGGAGGGAAACCGCGGGGCAGCGGGAGACACGAGGTCTTCTCTCGTTCCTTGGCCCGTTTTGTACCGCCACACACTCCCCGCCGGCGTGTCCCCTGCCCACCCGCTCAGTTATTAAACGTGCGAGGCTTTTCGGAGGGGTCACGTTTGCAGGATTAAGGAATCGTTGACTGCGAAAAGCTACCTTTGAAAGCCCGTGTGGAGAAAAGAGCGTTTCGGTTCGTAACGCCTTGTGAGGGGATGTGCTTTTGAACCCGTGGGGACTGATTGCTGTACCTGTAGTAATCCTCCTTGCAGTAAATACTGCCGTCCTTGGCAAAGCAGGTGAGTTCTGACTCCAAAGCCAGTTTACATTCACAGCATTTAAGACACCTGAGGTGCCATTGTTTGTCAACAGCCAGCAGGTAATATCTGTCTGAGATCTTCCCTCCACAGCCAGCACACAAAGCAGGCTTCTCAGGGCTCATGGGGGGCATGTTCTGCAAAACAACCACACCACAAGGGGATGAGACAGGGAGAGACAGACTGACAGGCAAGCAGGCAGGGCTGGGGACGGGGTCCTGTGCAGGGCCCGAGGCTTGTACAAAGACACTGCTCTCTGAGACCAAACTCCCGGCTGGAAGTTCGAGGGGAACCTGGGACAGTCCCTGCCAGGAAGGTATTTACCGCCATTCAGCTTTCATGTTTATCCCATTAAACCTCTCCTAACGATCTAATGTTATTTCAGTATGTGGAGGCAACTGATTAGGCCTCAGTAAGAAAAGCAGAGCTCATTATTTTCCCAGGTCCCAGCTGAATTCTAGCTTCCCCGTTACTTTAGGGTTTTCATCCTGGAGTGCTCCACAAGAATGGCATTTTAAAGTAGGAAAATACTGGTTTGCTGCACCAAAAGTTTATGGCAGAGGGTGCAAGCTTGCACCGATTTTCTTGTAAATTTTCACTCGTGCACAAAGCAGCCCAAACCCCGTCTCTAAAGAAAACGGGGCCGTTTAAAATAGAAATAAGAGAAAGGAGACAGGTGAATGGTGTAAAGAGCAGTGAGCATGAACACTCGCTGCCCAGGCCAGGGACATGGACAGAAAGGTGGCACAGTCTGGTTTCAGCTAAAACTAGCGTCTTTTCATTAGCAAACTTTTGCAAGTCCCCATTAATCTGCTCCCCACGAGGAGTGTCGCTTGGGACAAAGGGAGACGGAGGGTCGGCAGAGACAAAAGCTCTGCCATGAAACTTGGGACAGCGTTTGCTGATAAACTAACTGGGAAAAAAAAAATCTCGAACATCTTATTCTAAAGTCACAACTGTTTTAAAGCGGCACCTCCACATTCACTTTCCAACCTGGAGCTGTGTTCCTCGACTTTTTTTTTTTTTTTTTTTTTTTTCAGCAATTGAAAAGGCGAGTTGAATTTACATTGCAAATCCCCATATAACAAAGCGGGAGTTTATTTAAGAGAAGGGGGGAAGGACCCTATGGCTCAGAGCAGATTTCCAGGCCGTTACTTTGTGTGCAGAGCCTTGTGCACGATCAGCGGAAGCCCTACAAGTTGGAGAAAGGGAGATCTCGCTTTGCACTAAAGGCAGCGTGACGCTCGGTTTCTCCGCCATCCCTTAGCACACTTTGGTCCTTTGACTAAGAGGAGATGTTACTGCTAAGCAAAGTAGTCGGTGGGCATAATGTTCAGAGAGAGCAGTCAGTGCCTCTTTGTATCAATCCCCCGCTTCAGACCAAAAATGGGTACAAAAAATAAGCGGTCGCGGTTTGTGGTTTAATTTAGGAAGTGCCAGGGATGAAAAAAAAAAAGTAAAGTACACCTCAGAAACTCCAGCTGCAGCCCTGCTCGGACGGGGCAGACCGGCCGCAGCCAGCCGAGCAGGGGCAAAAGGCTGCTTGGCTGGAAGGACTCGTCCCCACTAGGATTTAAAATCTTTTCCCCCGTTACCCCAGAGAGCACACGCATCGACAGTGACAAGACCAAGGGGCAACTGTGCCTGGCCAGGGCTATGGCCAGGTTCATAGGGAGCCCCGGGAGGGCTTCCACAAGCGAGGGGTGGCAGGGAAGGGGCAGGGGGGGAAGCAGCCTCCTTCTCTCCCCCAGAGTCAGGATCTGTCCCGGTGCGGGTCCATGCTTGCAGGGATTCCCTTTCAAAGAGTGCCAGCTCCTTTCTTACCGTTTCTCGGCCGTTCATCTGTCCCCCTTTGGCCAGGCGGGACTCGGTCTTGGATCGCCTCTCCATTTCCTCCATGATTCCTTGGATATGGCCTCCGGAGATCCCGTGGAAAAGCATGGCTGGGGGACGGAAAGGACAAGTATTTTCTTCTGCTCTGCACCCCACTATTTCCATATACAGACCCCAGAGTCTTTAGATCATCCAAAACGTTTACACCGAGGTGCACAGCGCAGGGAGGGAGGTTGCAATAGGAGCTTCTCTTTGCACAAACACCGAGGGCTTCCTGAAGATGTGCAGAAAACAAACAAGGGGGAGAAAATGTAATAATAATTAATTTTAAAAATAAAATAATAAAAGCGAGCTAAAGGATCTGTTACTGTTCTGGAGAGCTGGGGCCCCTGACTGGAGAGACTTGGGCCTGGGGCAGTAGAATCGGTCGGGAAAGGATATAGTTTTGAATACAAAGAAAGCAAAAAGAAGTGCTATTTTCAGCAGTCCCTGGTTGCTTTAAAGTTCCCAGTGCCTGTAGGTTGGATTTGGGACTGCTGCTTTCCGGAGCTCTGTCCAATTTGTTAAGAGACTAAAGCCAGCCCATTTTTGATAATTTAGTAGGAGGAGTTCTCTCCCTTGAGCTGCCACTGATTTTTATTCAGACAACAAAGACCTGTCATACTCCTCTCAACCCCTAGTGATGGGCAAGCAGTGACAAACAGTGCAGTCGGGGCTGTGGGTGGGGTGGGGTTTACTACCTCCTCCAAACACGGAGTCCCGGGAGTTGGCGGCGGCGGCGCCTGGCGAGGGGCAGGGCGGCCCGGGGGCCCCGCTCCCCCGGGGCC